GGGAGAGGCAGAGAGTAAGGGATGGAAAAGTAGCAGGCACATGCACACCAAGGTTGTTTACTCCAACTGACAACGGGTGTCAGCGCCATCTTGTAACGGAGAATGTGGGGGCGGCTCCCCACAAAGAGTGAATAGAGAAAATGTGGTACACTTACACAATGGAGTATTACTCAGTGGGAAAAAAAAACAATGACATCTTGAAATTTGCAGGCAAATGGATGACACAAGAAGAAACCAGCCTAAGTGAGGTAACCCAGTCACAAAAAGAGAAACATGGTATGTACTCACTCATATATGGATTTTAGATATGAAGCAGGGGGTGCCAGCCTACAATCCCACTGCCAGAGAGCCTGGGAAACAGGAAGGACCCTAAGATAGATGTGCATGGTACCCCAGAGAGGGGGAATGGGACAGGATTTCCTGAAGGGAATGGGAGCATGAGCTGGGAGAAAGAGAGGGGTCAAAGAGAAGGGGAGAGGAGGACATGGGGGAGCAAGAAGGTTGAGTTGGGGGGAGAATAGAGGAGAGTACAGTGAGAGATATTATAATAGAGGGAGCCAATATAGATTTGAGGACAGATCTGGCACTAGTGAGATTTCCAGAGATCTACAAGGATGACACCAACTGGCAATCTAACCAATAGTGGGGAGGCTACCTTAAATGCCCTTCCCCAATAATGTGACTGATGACTACCTTGTATGCCATCCTAGAGCCTCTATCCAGTGGCTGATGGAAGCAGAGGCAGACACCCACAGCTAAACACTGAACTGAACTTCTGGAAACCAGTTGCAGAGAGGGAGGAGCGATGAACAAAAGGGTGAAGCCTGGGCTGGTGAAACCCACAGAAATAGCTGACCTGAACAAATGGGAGCTCATGGACCCCATAATGGGGTTCTTGGACACCAGTTACACATACATACACATGCCCTACTTCTATGCATATACACATAATTTTAAAAATGGGGATGCTGTGACATTTTCCTTTTCTCTCATCCATGGAAATACATCTTCCATACCCTCTCTTTCTTCAGGTAGGATTGGTAGAAGATGCTACACTTACTTTTCACATCTCAACCTTTCAAACTGACTCAAGCTGCTGGTCTGACTCTCCTAGGGTTAGGGTATGTATGAATCATTTGCTTCTATTGACTTTTGCCAACTACCAAATTTGATTCTAGAGTATGCCTTTTCAGTTGCTTCTCTCCTTTACTAATGCATCCATCTGTCTTCACTTACTCAGTAAGTGTGCTCTCTCCCAGATATGCCCTTCTTTGGCTGGGCACAGCACAGGCATATCATGTCTATGCCATTTCAGTCCACCTGCCCACATTGGCACCTCCGTTATATGCCCTTTGGGCTGTCCACTACGTTTGCATACTCCCTGCAATGCCGTTCAATGCCCCACCACATGGGCAATTCTACTTACTAAGTCACTCGTACCTCTCCAGCTATTTTCTCCCCTACCTGCTCCAACCACTTGTCTCTCCCCTTCTCCTGGGTAAGTGTTACTTTGGAGCTACCCACTTTGTTTACATTTACTACAAAAGCCACACCATTGCTCCAGGAAACCAGGCAGCCACCCTCCTGTTTTTATCCTCCCAATAAATACCTTGTGTGATGTTTGTTGTGTGGTGTGACTTTGTGATATTCCTTGGCTCTTGACTACCAGCATACTTTTCCATTTAAGCAGTGATGCTTACAGTCCCTCCAAATAGGGTTGGGAAATTGTTCCATAGCAGGTTGTCAGGAGCCAATTAGAATTCCCATCACCCCTATATCCACCCCTCCTCTTTCATTTCCTGACCTTTCCACCTACTTCCTCTATGGACAAACAAAAGTTTATTGCAAAGACTGGCCAGAAAGACATGGAGGCTGCCAATATTAGTCTTGCCAATAACATCATCCACATTTATATCCATGCCCTGATTCCCCTTTTATCAACAAATAGGGCCATTTACTTCTAGATCTGGGGCCCACGGAATCCCAGATGGGAAATGAAAATGAGCATTATTGGTCAACTCCACTGTCTTCAACCCCAAACACCTGGTGAGCACAATTAAAATCCAGAGAAAATATGACTCAATTACTAAACTCCTGGAGATAAGGGAAGTATAAGAGGCTTCTACTTCAACCAAACTTGTATAGTTAAAAAAAATCCAACAACTTTTTAGAAGAGCATTCCAGTTTTACTGTAATGATTATTTATTATGTATTGTGTGTGTGTATGTGTGTATGCTATTGTGTGTGTGGGTGCCTCCAGAGGCCAGAAGCAGGTATAGACATCAGATACCCCAGAGTTGGAGTCACAAGCAGCTGCCTGACTGTTTGCTGGAAGTTGAACTGGCATCTTCTGAAAGAGTAGGAAGTGCTCTTAACCACTGAGAAATCTTCCCAGCCCTGAATCACAGATTTTAACAAATGCTGAAGAAAAGCCTTTCAACATGCCAAAGACATGAGGAGGTAGGAATATAACTGTTCTTGTCTGCCATCGGGATACACCTGGGAAGAGGGGAGCTCAATTGGGGAATTGCCTCCATCAGATTGGCCTGTGAGCTTGTCCGTGGGCATTTTCTTGATTGTCCATTAAAATCCAACAACTTTAAACAGACCTCCAAAAACATGAGGAACAACTCAATGCCTCTAGCCCCTGGGCCCTTAAAAACCCCAAATGGAAATGGATACTTCCCTTCCTGACCCCTCTCTTTATCATTTCCTACTAATTGCACCCTGCTTTATCAATTTCTTCTCTACTTCCTCCAATGACAAATTCAAGAAATCTCTAATCTTTGAACTAGCTATTATTACAGGTTGACCACAGAGCCAAAGGTGCATGACTACCAAATATGCCCCGATGATACAGACCAACAGCACCCTGAAGATGTCTACACCCCTAGATAACAGGAAGAAGTCTAAAAGAGCATGGAACCCCCCATCACTGGACCACCCTTCCCATTCCTATTTTCTCATCTTTTACAATAAACCAAAGGGAGGAATGCTAGCATTCAGGAATTTCCACCAGCCTGCCCTGGGACCAAATGACAACCAGACACATAACTGTCCGTCACCATGATAGGACACTATTGTTACAGCCAACATGAGCCACATACTCTCTGTATTGACACACAATATATCTGTAGGGTAGAAAGGGGCCGAGGAAAAAAATTTCCCTGCCCCTGACTAGACCTGAGACCTGGGCCAAGGGAAAACATCCTAACCCTGACTTGATCCCAGGACCAAGGATTGAAATCCCACCAATCCTTGAGCTTTCCCCAGAATTAGGCCACAAAACTCCACCAATCCCAAGCTATCATGGAAATCTCTGCCCCCAAGATATCCTATAAAATTTTTGTATCTTGTTCAGTTTGCTGCTGTTTCTCACCTGAGGCAGTCACCCTCCTGAGTTCTTCCTTTCCAATAATACTCTGGGGTAAGGTTTGTTGTGCAGTGTGATATTTTTGCTGGAGCAAAGCAGAGCAGAGCAGAATTCTCTGTTTAGCTCTGTACCCCATTCTTTAATTGGGTTATTTTATATTTTGATGTCTAGTTTCTTGAGCTCTTTACATGTTTTAGAGATCAGCCCTCTGCCCAATGTGGGGTTGGTGAAGATCTTTTCCCATTCTGTGAGCTGTCATTTTGTCGTGTTGACTGTGTCCTTTGCCTGACAAGAGCTTCTCAGTTTCAGGAGGTCCCATTTATTGATTGCTGCTCTCAGTGCTGTGTTACTGGTGTTATATTTAGGAAGTGGTCTCCTGTGTTCAAGGCTACTTTACACTTTCCCTTCTAGCAGATCCAATATAGCTGGACTTATGTTTAGATTCTTGATTCACTTGGACTTCAGTTTGTGCATGGTGATAGATATGAATCTGTTTGAAATCTTCTACATTTTGACATCCAGTTATGCCAGAACCATTTGCTAAACATGTTTTCCTTTTTCCATTGTACCATTTTGGCTTCTTTGTCAAAAATCAGGTATTCATAGGTGTGTGGATTAATGTCAGGGTCTTTGATTTGGTTCCATTGATCCACCTGTATGTTTCTATACTAATACCAAGCTGTTTTTATTACTATAGTTTCATAGTAGAGTTTGAAGTCAGGAATGGTGAGAGCATCATGTTCTTAAAATTACTTCCTGGTGTCTGGAGGCAATGGTATAAAGGGGAACCTGAAAAAACTAGGACAAATGTCAAGTCCTAGGAGGGCTAGCTGTATCATTTGTTGTCCTGTCTCTGTAATGGGAAAGTGCAGGGCTTATCTCAAGTCCTGGATAGAGTAGTCTGTAAGGCTGGACCATCTCAGCTAGCTGCCTTGAAATTGTCCTGAGCAGTTTATACTCCAAAGCCAATCTTTAGGTGGTGTTTGTCATCTTATTGGCATTGTGACAATCCAGGTGGAGTCATCATTGTGGGGTTCAAAGGTCCCTGCTAGGCATGGTCATGGTTCACTACAGAAAACTTGGCATTTTAAATATCATATACAGCAGATCTTGAAGAAGTTAAAGGACCATAATTTGTTATGTATGTCCAGAGTACAAAAACTTAATTCCTACTTATCTGATAAAGACTCAAACCAGAAATCATGTATAGGAAGCTAGACAGCCTTTTTCTAGAATTAGTTAGTAGTCTACATGACCATTGATATGACAAAAAGTTAAAAATATACATAATTAATTTCATGAATTTTGAGGTAATATTTATAGCTTAAGAAAAGTTTTAAAGAGTCAAAATAAAATCAAAGAATTATGAGATTAGTTCTTTCCCATATCATGTGGTTTTTCAGTCACAAAACAGAGATTTTTGATTTTCCTATAACATGCATTCTTCGGTTTAGAAAAGAAGACAGCCATGCTCCAACTCAAAAACTTGCTTTAATTTTTAATCGAACTGGAACCACAAATGACCATTTGCATGATGTATCTGTAGAGAACAGTAGAAACAAATATTTGGGAAGATGTATTAAATTTTATTCTGTTGGAAATGTGATACATCAATAGACCAACTTACTCTTTTTCCTGGGACTTTTTCTCTGGATGATTCATCCTTTTTCTTCTGTCTCATTTGTTCATTGGTCTTCTATTTCCTTAGTTGGATGCCTTCTTTCTCCTGGAAAGATTAAAAAATAAACCTGCCCAACCTTAACTTTGGGGAGTTTCCCTTTTGGCAAGTTTTATCTGATCAAATGAAAAGCACTTGATAGTCAAATAAGTTAGTTTAGATTGCATGACTACATTATTTGAGGAACTATTACCTCTTCTAATCAAGAGATCTCTCTAGTTTCAATCTAATCTTTATCAGTTTTGGTGGTATCCATAGTTTTTCTTATCTAGAAACAGAAGCGAAACCACTTCTCCAACATAATACATATCCTGGTTTCCATTCTGAGGATCTTTACATCTTTAAAGTGTACAGACTGATTTAATTTAGCAGTTTTTTCTATGGTATCATTTTTCTCTGCAGCTTTCCCACCTTTCTATTAGCATTTAGAAAATTTAAAGTTATTTAGGCATTGTGTAATTTATCTCTGTGGATCTTTCTTACCTCTTTCTGTTTATTAAGCATATCTTTCAGAGTTTGATTAGATCTTTCTATATCTGCTAGCTTTGTAGGATTGTGTGGTATGCTTGTACTATACTTTATGTTGTAATATGAAAAAAAAACCTGTTTCATTTTACTAGAGACTTATCCTGAAGCATTGTCTGCCTTAATTTTTTCAGGCCCCATGATGGCCATAACTTCTAATAAGTGTGTTATTCCAGAATCAGCCTTTTCAAAAATCTGTAAAAGGAGTTCTTAATTGGTCTAAATAATAATCCTGGAGTCAGATATAGAGGAAAATCCTGAGAGATCAGACAGAATAAGGAGCAAGCCAAATCCAAATTTACCTCCTTAGCAGTGGGCAAGAGAGCAAGTTCCGGTTTCTTCCCGCTTATATCCTCTCTCTGCCCAGTCATCTCACTTCCTGTATGTCTCTACCAACCTTCAGAACTGTATGGGTAGCTAGTGGCAAGCTGCATTCTCTGGCCTTCAGACAGGCTTTATTTGTACAAGCAAGATGTCACCACAGAGCTCAAAGCAGCTGCTCATTAAAATACTGAATATGTATCTGTGGTATGGTATGCATATTTTAATTTTCCAAAGTCTGTGAAATGAAATAGCCCAATTTTCCAAATTTCATTCCTTTGGGTACCCTTTAGGTTGTTCCCTGCAGGTAGTGGAGCTTGGTTATACAAACAATGGGCATTTCCTTACAATGTCCTTGGCTTACTGCCAAGTGATGGAAAATTCCTTTTTCAAAACATTGCTTTTAAAGTCATCAAATTCTGAGGTTTCTAGCACATTTCCTCCCAGTAGTCTATCAATTTCATCATTGCCTTGGGCTACAGGGCCTGCTAGAGCCTGTATGGTATTTGACATGTGTTTTATATAAGGAATGGTTCTATTTCTGATTATTTCTTATAATCTAATAAATAACAAAGTTATCTAGAATAAAGTCAGCAGTTTCAATGTATAAAACAACTCTGCATACTGGGATAGATTCAGTAACTACATTAAGAGATTCTGGGAAATCCAATAACACTGTAATATTAGCATTTACTTCTGACCTTTCAATGGAATTACAAGGGCTTTGAGTCACTTTACTTATATTTCCTGATTTATAACCTGCCTTTCCTGATTTATTTGTATTGGTATAGAATATAGAGGATTCAGATATTGGTGTTCCCTGTGCAATGTGAGGAAGGAGCCAATTATTTCTTTTTATAAAGTAAAGTATCTTACTTTTGGGATATTTGTTGTTATTCTCTCCCCCAAAATTACTGCAAGTTCTTTGACAAAGTTTACTTAAGCATTAGTAAAAGCTAGTACAATTTCTTTGGGGTTCATTCCTGCTAATTGATGAAGTCTCAGTTTTCCTTTTAGAATCAACCTTTTCTACATAGGTCTTTGTTTGCTCTGTTTATGTGGCAAAATTATCCATTCCAAGACATTATCTTCTCTCTGAATAAGAATTCCTGTAGGAGAATGGGTAGAAGGTAAAATAACCAGAATATAATCAAGCCCTGGATCCAAGCACTCTAAGTATGCATCCTGTAATTTTTTTCTCTATCAGAGCAAATTCTCTCTTAGCCTTAGCTGATAATTTTCTTGAATTATTTACATCCTTGTCATTTTGTAATGTTTGAAATTAATTACTTATTTTTGAGTTTTTAATCCAATTGTGAGCTATAGCCAGTTAATGTCTCCTAGCAATTTTTGAAAATCATAAAGAGTTCATAATTGATATCTCCTGACTTGTATTTTCTGTGGTTATATTTTTTTGTAAATCTATCTTATACTCCAGGTAATCAACAGAATCTCCTCTTTGTGTTTTTTTCTGGAGAAATTTGTAATCTCCAACAATGGAAAATTTTCTTTATTTCTTTAAACATTCTTTAATTTATCTACATTTGCATCAGCTAGTGAGGTATCATCCATATAATTGTAAATTATAGATTGAGGAAATTGATTAAGAATTATTTCCAATGGCAATTGTACAAAATATTGGCACAGGGTAAGTCTGTTTAACATTCCTGTGAAAGAATTTTTCCACTGATAGCCTTTAACAGGCTGGGAATTATCTTAAGTAAGCACTTTTTTCTCTGTCCTGTTCTTGTAGAGATATACTAAAAACAAAATCTCTTAAACCAATTGCTATAATAGGTCATCCTTTATGTAAAAGAGAAGGCAAGAGAATTCCAGCTGTAAAGACCCCATTGACTGAATCTTATTAATAGATCTTACATCTGTTCCCAGATTTCTTTTTAATAATAAACATAGGAGCATTCCAAGAATTTGTTGATTCCAAGGACTGAGCTGCTCCTGTACCAGCTGTTCTAATGTCTGTAATTTTTCTCATGTCAAAGTTCATTGCTACACCCAGACAGGTTTGTCAGTTAACCATTTTTAAATTTAAGGCTATTGATACCTTTAAAAGATGAGGGACTGTTGTTCCCTGTTTATGTTCAACCTGAATGGTCAATGACTATTCTTTATAACACCTTTTAATATTTTCTCAGAAAAATATGTTAGTTTGTGTTTTGCTTCTGAGATTGCAGAAATGTTAATCTGGGTGTTCCATTAGTGTATCTAGTCATATATGCATAAATCCATTGCTATGTTAGCCACACATGGCTTTAATAGTCGTCTCTATCCTTCTGGCACTCTACATTAGACCCAATAGTGTTTTGTTTTACCTGAGATAAAGTCCCAATCCCAAAACATTTAACTCTGGAAGAGGCAAATTTGCATGTCAAAATTCTGGTGCAATTATTGTTATATTTTCTCCTGTGTCTATGAAAACCTCCATTACAAAGCCATGTATTCATATTTTTAACTTTGGTCTTTGATCCTTTATAGAAGTTTGCCAAAATATTTGTTTTATGGTTTCTCCTGAAATTTTTGTTTTTCATTCCAAAGCTGTTTTATCATCCAGAGCAATATGTTTTTTGTTTGTTTGTTTTTTGTTTTTTTACAATAGGTATTATGTCCTTTAATTGTGTTGTGGAGAAGTTTCCCCTGTGGTGACAGGGAAGGATTGAAGCAAATTTCACATGGGAGCCTGTAAGAGGCCCCCAAAGGTGTTTCCTGATGGCAAATGTCACCTTGTCTGTCCCTTGTTGATCTGCATTCATTGGCGTCATCCCTTTAGATCACTAGAGGTCACAATGGTGCCTGATCTGTCTTCTAACCTATGATTCCCTCTTCCCCCTATCCTAACCCCCCAGTCAACCTTCCTGTTCCCCCATGACCTACTCTCTCTTTCTCTTCTCCCCTCTCTTCTTCCCAGCTCCCACTCCCCCCACCCCCCACCCCCCACCCCCGCCATGTTCCCATTCTGTTCTGAGGATCTTGCCTCATTTCTCTTCTCTTGGGTACCATGCATATCTTTTAGGTTCTTTCCTGTTTCCCAGACTGTCAGTGGAAGTGCAGACTGGCACTCTCCTGATCCATGTCTAAAATCCATATATGAGTGAGTACATACCATGTTTGTCTTTTTGTGACTGGGTTACTTCACTCAGGATGGTTTCTTCCAGTGCTATCCATTTACCTGCGAATTTCAAGATTCCATTGTTTTTTTCTGCTGAGTAATACTCCATTGTGTAAATGTACCACATTTTCTCTATCCACTGTTCAGTTAAGGGGCATCTAGCTTGCTTCCAGGTTCTGGCTATTACAAAATATGCTGCTATGAACATAGTGGAGCAGATGCCCTTGTTGTATGAATTTGCCTCCTTTGGATATATGCCTAAGAGTGGAATTGCTGGGTCTTGTGGTAGATTGATTCCCATTTTCCTGAGAAATCTCCATACTGCTTTCCAAAGTGGCTGTACGAGTTGGCACTCCCACCAGCAGTGGAGGAGTGTTCCCCTCTCTCCAAATCCTCTCCAGCATAAATTGTCTCGGTGTTTTTGATTTTAGCCATTCTGACAGGAGTAAGATGGTATCTCAAAGTTGCTTTAATTTACATTTCGCTGATGGCTAAGGATGTGGGACACTTTCATAAGTGTCTCTTGGCCATTTTAGCCTTCTCTATTGAGAATTCTCTGTTTAGTTCTGTACCCCACCTTTTAATTGGATCCTTTGGTGTTTTGGAGACTTGCTTCTTGAGTTCTTTGTAAATTTTGGAGATTAGCCCTCTGTCAGATGTGGGGTCGGTGAATATCTTTTCCCATTCTGTGGACTGCCTTTCTGTCTTGTTGACTGTGTCCTTTGCCTTACAGAAGCTTTTTAGTTTCAGGAGTCCCATTTGTTAATTGTCGATCTCAGTGTCTGTGCCACTGGTGTTATGTTCAGGAAGTGGTCTCCTGTACCAACTCGTTGAAGAGTATCTCCCACTAAAAGTTTCAGTGTGGCTGGATTTATGTTGAGATCTTTGATCCATTTGGGCTTAAGTTTTATACAAGGCAATAAACATGGTACTGGTATGCAGTCTTCTGCATACCAGTACCCAGTTATGCCAGCTCCATTTGTTGAAGATGCTTTCTTTTTTCCATTGTATAGTTTTAGCTTCTTTGTCAAAAATCAAGTGTTCATAGGTGTGTGGGTTAAAATCAGGGTTTTCAATT